CCTATTAATCTATTTGCTCTTTTCATCTTTGGGCATGGAAAACCTCCTTCTTGATCTAAAATCGGCCACCCAAATCTGCTCTATGCCATTCATTAATTTGGTCTCCTCAAATACAGCTGCAATCCATTTTCTTTGAATTTTTCTTCCTTTGCTACATTTGTTAGAATTAGACTCTAAGTCCTTGAAGCAGGAATCTTTTTATTTCATATATAATTCTTTTTGGTAGTCATGTGCTAATATCAGAATTTAAAACACCTAACTTTATTTGTAGAATTGGTTTCCAGGCTTAAATGGCTAAAGTAAATATGAAAAGGGGAGAAATGATGTGTGCCAAAGACACAGGACTTGACATATGATAAGCTGATTTAGTCTTCCAATGATCCTGCAATGGCATCATGCCCTTATTTTACAGATGAGAAAGAGAAAGTGGCCTGGCTGCCATTGAAACCAAACCTTTGCTGATGTCAAAAATCTCATGCTCTCCCATCCAAGTACTAATCAGGCCCGACTCTGCTTAGCTTCTGAGATCAGACGAGATCCGGGCACGTTCAGGGTGGTATGGTATAGAGAACAACATAGACTGATGAACAGGGACAGATCCAAAGACAGAGAAACAGCGATCAGACTATTAATCCCCAGAGGGAAAGTAGGGGAGGGAGGGGGCAAGGGGAAGGGATCAACCAAAGGACTTGTATGCATGCATATAAGCCAAACCAAGGGACATGGACAACAGGGGGATGAGAGCATGAGTGGGGGTAGGGGGGTGGGGGGGTGGAGGGGGAAGGATGGGGGTTTAATGGGGGGGGGATGAGGACACATTTGTAATACCTTAACTAATAAAGAATTGCTCTTTCCCTATCTATCTCAAATTTGTATTGGAAACAACTGAAATATGAATCCAGTTGAATCAGGTCCTTAGCGCTTTCACAGTTCCTTAACCCAAATTTATGGTTTGAACACCATAAAAACCAAGCTCTGTGGTGAGGCAAGTACAAATTTATCAAAGTTTGGCATGAATTCTCTAAATTGGGCTGTATCATAAAGTAGAGGTTCTCAAGTTTTCTTGATTCATGGCACCCCAAGGCCAAAACAGCTACCCATTCTGTTCATTAAGTAGGCAGGCCCTAACAACTTAATTAATATGTATGTCCTCATATCTCATAGAAAGTTTTAAAAAGTAATACATGGAAATTTGAAAAAAATATTTTATTTCAGTCTAAAATTGTCATTACTTATTAATAGAAACTGTGCATCTGTTGGGCCCTGCACAACTCTCAAACCTTGGAATAAGATCACCTTCATGTCTTGTTCCACATCCATTTTCACTTGATACATCAAAGCAACTGCTGAAAATCCACTCACAAACACAGGGCATCATCAAAATATGTTGTGAATTCTAATGTTGAAATTATGAACTATTTTGAGCTAGTAGTAGTTTGCATGAATCTAACAGATGTTGCTGTGTTGATCTTGAACATTTAAGATATCGATGGCATTCCTGTGAGTGCACGTCAGCACCCTCGGGTGCCTCGGGGGCCAGGCAAGTCTTAAGAATATCTTTTTTCCCTTTTTCTTCTTTCCTGCCCTCCTCTTCCTTTCTCCATTTTTTTCTAGTTTAATAATTATAAAACCTCTTGAAGCTTCATTTATAACTCAAATTCTCTCTTCATGACATAATATATACTGAAATTTCAACCAGAAATGAAGTCAGTAGAAAAGCATATGTTTTGACTGAACAACATATGGAAATCTGATGTTTGTAGACACATTTTCCCAGCAAAAAAGTTTTTAGAAAAGAATTCTTTACATTCTCCTATTGACTATCTCACATTTGATAAAGAAGACAGAAAGAAAAAGGGAGGAAGAGGGAAAGTGAGAAGGGGAGGGAGGGAAGGAGGGAGGAAGGCAAAACTTGATTAATAAATCTTTATTAAGTGCATTCAGTACACGCACATTCTTGGAGCAACACAACACTGAGAGAAGGACAGAGCTGCCCAGAATCCAGGCATCCACACGGTCCCTCCCAGATACAGATCTGTTGGCGCAGTCAAGCTCAGGTGGAAGACAGGGTACAAGGGAGCAGAATGAGTGGACAGTGTAGAAACATGGGCTTTAGAGTCAGGCTGTGTTCAAGTCCTGTCTCTATAACTTAGTAGCTCTGAGTCCCTTGGAATTTACTTAATCTTGTGAATTTTAGATTTTTTTTTTTCAGTAAAATGGGAATAATAATACTTATCCCAAAGTTGTTTTTTATTTGGGACTGATTAACACTTGTAAAGTGCACTTCATAATATCTGGCACATTTAAGGGCTAGATAGTTATCAATATTTTTATTACAACTAGAGGCTGGTGCACAAAATTCATGCATGGGGTAAGGGGGGCCCTCAGCACAGCCTGCACCCTCTCCAATCTGGGACCCCTCAGGGTATGTCTGACTGCTGCAGAGATTGGGCCTAAACCGGCAGTTGGACATCCCTCTCGAAATCCAGGAGCACTGGCTCCTAACCACTCGCCTACCTGCCTGCCTAATCGCTCCTGACCGCCTCTGCCTTCCGGCCTGGTCGCCTTCTAACTGTTCTCCCTGGCAGGTCTGATCACTACTCTCCCCAGCTGGCCTGATTGCCCCCAACTGTTCTTCCTGGCCGGCTTGTTGGCCCTTAACTGCTCTCCACTGCTGGTCTGATTGCTCCTAATCACCTCTGCCTCAGCTCCCGCCACCATGGCTTTGTCCGGAAGTATGTCTGGAAGACATCTGGTCTAATTAGCATATTACCCTTTTATTAGTATAGATAGGGCCAACCCACAGGTAGGAGAAGGCAGAGGTAAGGTCTGCCAAAAAATGGCAAGGGTACAGAGAGAAGTAGTAGTGGGGAGAATGGTGGAGTTCATGTCAATAAATGGATTGCATCCAGAACTCTGCTGGTGGGAATGTAAATTGGTACAACCAATCAAGAAAACCACTTGACAGTATTTACTAAAGCTGAGCATATGCATATGACCCAACTAAGCAATTTGAGTTCTAGATATATGCTCAGCACACAAATGATTACATATGTGCACCAAAACACAAGTTTAGAGCAGCACTATTCATGATAGCCGGGAAATTAGAAACAACCCACCTGTAGGATGGCTAAATACAATGTGGTATGTTCATACAGTAGAATGGCAGACAGGGAATAGTACATGCTTACAATGCCATTTGTATAAAGTTCATGAGCAGGCAAACCAATCTATGGTATTATAAATATGGGCAATGGTTACCTTTTTGGGGCAGAATTAGTGTCTGGGAAGGTGCATAGGGAGTCTACTGGGGCTGGTTATGTGTATTTACTTTTTGAAAATCCATCAAGCTGTCCCCTATGATTTATGTACATTTTCATCTGTATGTTTTCCTCTAAGAGTTTACCTTTAGAAACAAAATGGGTCAAAGTACTGAAAAATATTTTGCTGTAGATTGAATGTTTGTGTTCCTCCACCCCCAATTCATATGTTGAAACCCAAGTCCCAGTATGATGGTGGGAGGTGGGGCCTTCAGGTGGTGATTAGGTTATGAGGGTGGAACCCTCCTGAATGGGGTTAGTCCCTTTATAAGAAGAGATTCAGAGAGCTCCCCTGCCCCTTCCACCATGTGCGGATGCAGCCAGAAAACAGCATCCATGAATCACAATGCACCACATCTGCTGGCACCTTGATCCTGGATTTCCCAGCCTCCAGAACTGTGAGAAATATCTACTATTTATAAGCCACCCGCTCCATGGCATTATTATAGCAGCCTGAGACAGACCTCTTTATAACTTTTCTTTTAGACAGAGAGGGTCACGAAGAAAGGAAGGAAGGAAGGAAGGAAGGAAGGAAGGAAGGAAGGAAGGAAGGAAGGAAGGAAGGAAGGAAGGAAGGAAGGAAGGAAGGAAGGAAGGAAGGAAGGAAGGAAGGGAGGTAGGAAGGTTACAAAAGGATTTTGGCCCTAAGAGAAAACATGAAAAGACAATATGAGGCACAACAGCAGCTATATTTACAAAATGCAGGTCAACTGTCCTATGGTGACTGACTCTGTATGAATCAGGATAGGCTAGGTTATAACTCCCCAATCTCAGTGGCTTAACACAACAGAGCGCCTTCTTGTTCTACACATGCTGACAGGGACTCTGCTCCTCATGCTTACTTGGGGACCCCACCTGAGGGGGACTTCATCTTGGCACGCATATTAAACTTATTGGGGTGACATTGGTCAATAGGATCATATAGGTTTCAGATGTGGATCTCTATGTTACAAGATCTGTATACTGCACCGTGTGCCCACCACCCAAAGTCAAATCATCTTCTGTCACTGTCACCATATATTAGGCCCCCTTCACTCCCCACCCCCCAGACTTTGTTTTTTTAAATGTGATTTCCTCTTAGACTCACATACCAGTTTCGGGAGAAATGTACTAACTCACCAACTGATGACATAATTAAATTTTAATTTGGATTCCTTACAAGACACATAAAAGGCTGAAACATTTTGTGATAAAGGGAAGAGCTGAACAGGGTGTGGGTTTAAAGAGGAAAAATGTCCTATGGTAACCACAGGGCACCTAATTTCCCTGTGCTGATACAATCCAAATAAGTTCTTCAAATTCTGATGATTTCTTATTACGCCAATTCCTTTCATTATGAAAGAAGCCACTTCCTTTAGTAAAGGCCAACGATGGCAGGTAGAAATAAACCTCTGATGCAATCGAGCAAAAATGTCCAAAAAGGGGCACAGTGTGAACCGGATGAATCCCGTTTTTGAAAGTGCATGGGCGCTAAGGAACTGGGTACTTCCTCACTTCTCCACCGGCTGCCGGGAGTCCCTTCAATGGCAGAGTCATCCAGCCACTCCCCCTCCCCCACACATTCCGAAAGGATTGAAGGTCCAAAAATAGACTTTGCTATAAACTTTTCAGGAACACATCTGCTGCGAGAAATAAGATGTCTGTAGCATCAGGACTCCGGACAAAGCATAAAGAAGGAGATGCATTTAAAAATGTTTATTAAAGGTTGGAAAGTCTCCCCACCTAAGGAAGAGGTGACCAGGCCCACTCCTGTGTGTCAGATTCTGACCTGAAGATTGACGACTTAAAGAGGAGGCAGCCACTTGCATTTCTTGCTAAAAATAAACCAAAAGGAGCTTAAAGTGAAAGACAGGCTATGGCAGCTGTTATGAAGTTTGAGCTCAAATAACCAGTGGGCCCCACTCCACGTGAGACAGGGTGAGCTTCACCAAAAAGTGTGGCTAAAAGGCGGCCAGGAGGCCAGTATAAATGACTGCCCTTTGAGAACTGATGTGGTTGCTTCCTGTTCACTGAAGACTTTAATTAGGAATTTATTCTTCTTCGCAGATGCTTCATTTAGTTGTGTTTTAATTATAGAGCTTGGCAAAAAGAGCAAAAAGAAGAGCAAAGAGGGCGAGGCCCACAGACACCGTCACTGCTCCGTCCTGACAGAGGCTTCGCAGCCGCAGCCCCACTCTGGAACCCGCCGAGTCGCACTGGGACAGGGAGCTCAGGGGACCCCCACGCCTGCTTCTGAATTCCTAGAAAGAGAGAGACACAGGAGAAAATAATTTTAAAATGCAAAGAAAGCCCCATTATGCTATCAATCAAGTAATGGGTCCCAAGAAGGAACTTCTTTTTTTAAAAAAAAAACACACACATTGAGATATAGCTGACATATAACCTTGTCTTAGTTTCAGGTGTACAGCCTAATGCTCGAAGTCTGTATACACCGCGAATGACCACTGTAAGGCCACTTAACGTCTATCACCATGCCGAGTCACACATTTATTTGTCTTGTGATGAGAAGTTTCAGTGCATATATCCTTTTGAGTTAGTGTTTTTGAATATTTGGAAATATTCCTATAAGTGGAATAGCTGGATCACACAGTAGTTCTATTTTGAATTTTGTAAGGAACTTCCATACCTCTTTCCACAGTGGCTGGACCAATTTACATTCCTACCAACAGTGCACAAGGGTTCCCTTATCCACATCCTTGTCAACACTTACATCTTGTCTTTTTAAGAATAGTGATTCTGACAGGTGTAAGGTGATACCTTCCTGTTGTCTGATTTGCATTTCCCTGAGGATAGTGATGTTGAGCATCGTTTTATGTACCTGCTAGCCATCTATATGTCTTCTTTGGAAAAATGTCTATTCAGAGCCTCTGTTCATTTTTATTTTTATTTTTGCTATTGAGTTGTATGAGTTCTTTATATATTTTGGATACTAACCTCTTATTAGATATCAGATACATAATTTGCAAATATTTTCTCCCATTTAGTACGTTGCCTTTTCATTTTGTTGATGTGTTACAGTAGAACCAAGTATATAAACCTAAAACTTTCATGTTCAGAAACTTTAGGGATCAGATTTCAATCAATTAAAGATAAATGAAGACAGTGGAGAAAACTTAGTCTGGTTAGATGGTAACAAAAGTCCATCTCTAATTATTGCCCCTTCTCTAACAGTTACATACTTATTGTTGGGGAAGGGAAAGACAACACATGTAACACCCACAGGCACAACTGGGACCAGTTCTAGGAATCCTAAGTGCCTGGGCTTTAACCCGAACCCTAACCCTACTCCAACCCTAACCCTTATCCTCTCTTTGCAGCCATACAAAATCACCTGTAAAATGGAGATACTGTTAGTATTTGCACATCAATGGGTTGTTATGGGAATCAAATGAGAGAGTGTCTTAAACATTTAAAACTCAAATAAGGTATCTTGTGGTTCTCATGGAATATGTAAACTGCAGACATTCCTTTAACACAATTGCAAAGTCATTATTTTATTTGTTTTTCAAATGTGATTCATTGATTTAAGCTATATTTGTCCCTTAAACATACCATCAGGAGGCACACAGCATAATGAATGAGCAGAGCAGAAACTGAGCCCAAGTTCAGACCTTCGTCAGCCTTGTGACCTTGGGCAAGTGGTTTAAGCTCTCTAACCCTAACCAGCTCCTCTGTGAAGTAAGGAGACCAATATGTACCTTGATGTTGTTGAAAGGCTTAGAAAAATATACTTTTATTGATTTCAGAGAGGGAGAGAGAAATAAACATCAGTGATGAGAATCATTGATTGGCTGCCTCCTGCACGCCCCACAATGGGATTGTGCCCTGAATGGGAATCGAACCATGACCTCCTGGTTCATAGGTCAATGCTCAACCACGGAGCCATGCCGGCCAGCGTATAGGTTTAAATTAAGGCCTGCTATTTTTTACATTCCAGTAGTGTGGCTTGGAAAACACTTGGACCACAGCACTCATCAATAGTCCCAACATGACAACGCCCTGTCCTGGGTACCACCCTCACAGCACTCGCCCACAGGGAGAAGCTATGCCCACTGGGAAGTCAGCACCTCTTATTCCCAGCCCTCAGTGAGTGAACCTTCTGGAAAGGCGCTTTATGAAACCATCCGATGTGAGAAGGGAAGACTGGGTTCCACAAGGTATGAAGTGGGATTCAACTCTCAGATGTGCTAGGGTCCACTTTTACCTGCTTTTTTTTTTCGATATCTAATATTATGGTAATGCTGTTGTCAAGGAAACTACAAAGGAAAGAAAAATGTCACTGTAACCCCACAATTCTACCTAAAACACTTTGCCCCAGTTCTGTGCCCTACCTGAACCAGCCACCTCCCCTCTACCCACTATCTGCCCTCTACCTTCTGTTCTTATGTTCTTGAAGGACACCCCAGCAGGAAAGCCGCCCTCCACTGGTGAACAGCAGGAAGGGTTAGGTGCACCCCTCTCGGGCTGAGCGTCCGTTGGCTGGCTCCCATCACGGTACCTATCAACAGTACTGCACGGCCTGTCTCTTGCTGTCTCCTGCATGATCCCGAGTGTGCTCCTGAGAGGGGGGGCTGGCCCGGCTCTCCCATGGATGCCCAGGGCCCGACATGGGGGAGGGGACAGGTAAATTGAAAGGATATTCCTTGGATATATATATATACACACACATATATATATATAAATAGTCTTTCCATATGAACTGCCATTTACCTATTCTTGTATTTCTTATTAGACTGTAAGGTAAATGGGACAAAGAATCAAATATCACTAGTGCTACATACACAGTATAAATATAAAACAGCATCATTGGAGGGACACAACAATTTCCTAGCAGAGAAGTAGCAAACTAACACGTTTTGTATTGCTACTCTAACACATTGCCACAAACCCCAGGTCTGCCATTTGGCTTCTAGGACAATCCCAACTTTAACTACTCACCCAGTTTCCCCCACTTTCAAGGCCACTAGCACTGGCTTTTTGATAAGCACCCTGATGATTTCCATTGGACCCCATGTATAACCTCAAGATCTTTAACTTAAACACATCCTCAAAATCCCTTTTGCCAGGTAGGGTAACCTTCACAGGTTCCCAGGATTAGGACATGAACATCTCGGGGGTACATCACTGCCTGCTACTCATGGCACATGTGATCCCCAAATGATCTCATTATCCCACCAGAAAGTGTGCTCAGTTCAGCAGAGCTGAACTAGCTGCACAAAAGAACGCTGTCCCACAGAAGCCTAACGCTCTACATGTTTACACGGCAGGGTGCACAGGGCACCCCTATCCCTGGTGACTGTATGGCTAGTGACCCTGAAGCTTCCTGGTGGAGGAAGAGGGGGCCTCCAGCGCTGGGCTTCTGCTAAATCCTTTTCCTTTCTCTGAGCTCATGTAGCTGCTTGCTGAGCAAATGGTCCTCCAGGGCCACACGTACTTGTCCTACTCATAGCTCCTTCATCCAAAAGAAACAGGGACGTGAAGGAGAGGGCACCTAGGAGATGGTGGATCAATGTTCTCTGAAGGGATATTTGCATTTCTACTTGTTCCTTTGCATTCCAGTTACAATCTCATACAGTTGCAAGTATCCTTCTCTGGGAGCTGGATGGGCTTGGCCTTCCAATGGAAGAAATTCGTGCTGTTCAGAAGAAGCTTCTCCTGCAGTTCCTCCTCCTTCTCATAAAAAATATTTGCATATTGTTGCCCTGGCCAGTTTTTCTCAGTAGTTGGAGCGTTGGTCCTCGGACTGAAGGGATACACGTTCGATTCCCAGTCAAGGGCATGTTCTAGTACCTAGGTGCAGGCTTGATCCCTAGCCCCGGTCAGGGTGTGTACAGGAGGCAACCAATCAATGTGTCTCTCTAACATCCATGTTTCTCTCTGTCTCTCCCCGTCCCTTCCATTCTCTTTAAAAGTTAATGGGGGGAAAATATCCTCAGGTGAGAATTAACAAAAATAAATAAATAAATAAAATGTTTGCACATTATAATATGTACTAGAGGCCCAATGCATGGATTCGTGCACCCATGGGATCCCTCAGCCTGGCCTGTGCCTTTGTGCAATATGGGACCCCTTGGGGGATGTCGGACTGCTGGTTTTGGCCGATCTTGGGGATCGGGCCAAAACTGAAAGTCTGAATCCCCTTAGTGATGTAGTAGTGTGCGAAGCCGGGGAGGAGCCTGAGCCTGGGATGGGCAGGTGCACCACGCAGCTCCCACTCATCCGGCCCTGCGCCTGCTGCTGCCGTCCTCCCTAGCACTGCTGCGGAGGCGGGAGAGGCTCGCATCGCTGCAGCTGTGCTTGGCAGCTGTGAGGCCGGTGTCTGGCACCCTTCGGTCAGCTGAGCAGCATGCCCGCTGTGGGAGCACACTGACCACCAGGGGGCAGCTCCTGCATTGAGCATCTGCCCCCTGGTGGTCAGTGCGCATCACAGCGACCAGTCGACAGGTCATTTGGTCACTTAGGCATATATATATATATATATATATATATATATATATATTATATACTAGAGGCCCAGTGAATGAAATTTGTGCAGGGGGGGAGCGGGGGTGGGGTGGGCAGTGTGGTTTCTCAGGCCAGCCTGTGCCCTTTTGCAGTCCGGGACCCCTTAGGGGATGTCTGAATGAGGCCAGCTGTTGGACATCCTTAGCACTGTCCCAGAGGTGGGAGAGGCTCCTGCCACCACCGCTGCGCTCTCCAGCCATGAGCCCGGCTTCTGGCTGAGCGGCACTCCCCCGTGTGTGCAAACTGACCACCAGGGGGCAGCTTCTGCATTGAGCGTCTGCCCCCTGGTGGTCAGTGCACATCATAGCAACCAGTCATTCCACCGATCAATTTGCATATTAGCCTTTTATTATATATTTAGAGAGAGAGAGAGAGAGAGAGCGAAGGGCCCAGTGTAGAAAATTCATGCACGGGGGGGGGGGGGGGGTCGATGTCCCTCAGCCCAGCCTGCACCCTCTCCAATCTGGGATCCCTCTCACAATCCAGGACTGCTGGCTCCCAACCGCTCGCCTGCCTACCTGCCTGATTGCCCCTAACCACTTCTGCCTGCCAGCCTGATCACCCCCTAAACCAGGGGTGGGCAAACTTTTTGACTCGAGGGCCACAATGGGTTCTTAAACTGGATCGGAGGGCCGGAACAAAAGCATGGATGGAGTGTTTGTGTGAACTAATATAAATTCAAAGTAAACATCATTACATAAAAGGGTACGGTCTTTTTTTTTTTTTTGTTTTATTC